TGTAAACCATTAAGAAATAAAAGGACTGACCAGCAATGAAAATAACAAAACGTCGAAAAGCGCCTGATAGATTAAATCATAGATAAAACTACATATGAAAATTCAAAATTTTATGGCCACCGTTTCAGAACAAAGAAAAACCTGAGGTGAGCTTCGAATACTGGCAGGTCAAAAATAATTCAAGCACACAACGATATTGGGGAAACCTGGTAATTTAATAAAAACAAAATAAATTCCTATCACGAAATGAAGGTAAAAATAAACCTACTTTCAATAACATAGGACGTCAGGATAACAGAAACTTCATTGTTCTATTTTTACAACATAGGTGATGATATTGTTGATCAAATTCCATGATCGGTTTGAAAATAAACCGACTAGCTTTTTGAACTACGTCTCAAGGTTGAAAAGAATGAAACACTTTCACTCCAAAGATGCTCGTTTTGTTTTCCTGGACTTTTAGCGACGTTTAGCGGCCATACTTGGTTAAAAATCAGAAATAACACTTAAAAAGTTAGTAGGATGTTTAATTTTCGGAATTAGTGTTTCAAAACACGTTTGAAACTTGAAGAACTCTACTGGTGACAGTGTCGACACGTACGATAAATATGAAAATAATGGCAGCCGAGATGTTTTCCAAAAATTAAACAAACTATTAACATTAAATACAAGGAATGAGCAATAAAAAGAGAAAATATGCAATGCTATAACTTCAAAAAATTATTTTTTAAAAGCAATTTGGTAGCGATGGTGATGGTGATGAATAGAAACTAGGAAGGGAGGTTTTATGTTCCTCCAGCACTGCCTTCTGGCTTATTGTATTTTTCCTAGTGCCTTAGTTCAGTGCAATTGACTCAATTCTTCACAAGAATTATTAGGTCATTGACTGTTGCTGCTAAAATTTCATTCCTTGTATCCCATATTATGTTATTGGCAGATAAATTTAGAAAATGAATGTTGGTAATACCAGTAACTGTAGTAGAGCGAAGTTGTTTCTTTGTGAGTTATTCCGCCGATACCTGTTTGTATATTGGTCCTTTTATAATTAAAAGTGTTGTTCACATTACTGCTCTTTTTATTGTTCCCGACAATATATGTCTCCATCGAACAGTTGCTTCTTCCTCTTCATTACAAAATTATGGGGTCATCATTGATATATCATTTAAATTGATTTATAATTTTATGTAAAGTGTAGTTTAGATGAAAAATTACCGCCACAAGTGGGAACTCAATCTCTGAAATTTAAATTATTACTTTGTTTAATTAGGACCAACTAAAATACAATTGAATTCACCCGTGTAGTGTAGATGTTTGCTCACATGCCAATGACCGGTGTATAGTCCTATCTTTCCTCTGAGATTTGCCCTCACTAACAGTAGCAGTGTTTTCCAGTTTGGTGAGGGTTCTAAGTTTGCTTGTTGTTATAAGTTTTTGTGAACCCATTCAGAGATGGAGGATTTTGGGTCTTTTTGTTCTTTTCTTCCCATGTATAAGATCAGGGCCTATACATGTACTTGCAGATCCTTCTCTGGCCGGTTTATTTGCCTTTCCATTACCAAAAATGCTGTGTCTTAGCACCCAATCATCACATTACATTTCCCCAGGTTTTGGACGCGTTCACTGTTTTTTTTTTTTTTTTTTTTGACAGTGTAATCAACCACCTTTAGGATTTAAGATTTTCTAAGGCACAAGCATTGATGGTACGAGTAACTTGGTTACTTATTAATGGATTATTTTTACTTATGGTCTTTGTAAAGATTTTCTGAATAAAACTGGTTTTGTTAACTTGCACACCTTTTTTCTATTTTGTTTTTTTCTTTTTCAAGAAATATGGTATTCGTACTTGCTCTCCACATAGAACCATTTAATGACACCCTTCAATTGAGTGGGGCACCTGAGTAACCTTAATATATATGTGAATAAAAACATGAGCTTCATGTTAACGTATGGCTTTTTCTTAATCGGGTGAGAATGATTTTTCTTCTATGATTTAAACAATCTATTGACTGTGTTCTTGATGTGAACAAGCTGCACTGCTGATTCAAAATTACCCTAGTTTTATTTATAGGTAGGTGGTTTAATCTGGTTTCATTTTATGTAATGATATTAATACAGTCTTTATGGAGTAAAAAAATGCTCTTAGAACATTTTAGATAGACATATTTGTTGATCATTATAAGATCAATGGAGTAGTACATTCTACAAATAATTTAGAACATAAATAATATTATTATAATATAATTTTAGCTTAGTACTTACAAGCAGTTCAAATTCTTCAACTTCAACGTAACTCATACATAAATTAATATTCTTACAACATATTAAATGCCTTATATATTATGTAAAAAATACAACAATCAAATTCATAAGAATATAACAGTAGGAGGTGTTAGAGGTGCAACAGAAGGTTTTTTAAGCGTTCATCATTGTAAGGTAAAGGTCCCTGATTAAAATCTAGCAGCACTGAGTTTGAACCCAATGTACTTTCAAAAAATAGATTTACAATCAATTAGATTTACACTGAATTGTCATCCTCCTGTGCTAAAATGATCTATTTTACATAATTTAACTAAACGAATTGTGGGTTTATGTTTCATAGTTTATACTCTAGTATCATTTTTATAATAATTGTCAATTATATTTCTTCACTTCCATATTATAACTTCTATATTATAATGGTTGATTTGTTTCCCTATATTAGCAGGATTACATGATTTTAAATTTACATATTCACCTGTTTGCGTTGCAAAAAGTTGTATCAAAGATAGAGTAGTAATTATCTCATGAGGGGGGGGGAAGCAATCACTTCACAGTAATGGCAAAGTGCAAAATGTAATGTTTATAAAGCACTCAAAATTGCTTTTTTGTTCCTGGCCCCTAAAGTTTTAATCTCAACTTAATTCCATGATAAGATTTCTTTAATTCATAAAAAAGGATTTTGGTTGTATTTATAAAAAAATATTGCTGATTCGATCATCTATGAATTGCCTTTTTTATTTGTTAGTTCTTTTCTTATAAACATAAATGTTTTTCATTGCTTGTTGAAAATTTTTCAAACCAACTACACTCACCATCAAAGAAATTGCACCACCCTGAGGTTTTGTATTTTATGAAAACTCCTTGTTTTAAAATTAGAAATATCCACAAGTATAAAATAAACAATTTTATTTTCAGAAAATGAACCTGTTTGATTAAAATAAATAATTTAAAAAAATCGTTTTCCAAATTGTCTTTTTTCAACACAATTAATATTTTTAAAGGTAAAATGCCATTTAATAACAAGTATTGCCCTCTCTGGCTTTAATGGCTGCTACTACTACTCTTTGTACGAATCCTACATATCCTTTTTGGTATACTCATAAAACAGTTTTGTAGTAAATGTGAGATACGTTGTCCCAGTTCTTCGATACAGTCACCTTAGCTTTTCAAGGATAGAAGGAGGTTGAACCCATGGCCTAACCTTTCTTTTCAGACTGCCCAAAATATGTATAGGGTTATGCCCAAACTTGCTGTCCATTCAAGGGTTTGGATTGTTGTGTTCATATATTTTGAAATATATGTTGCCTCTTGTGATTGAGCAATATTGTAAGCATTCAGGGTCATTTCTCTTTATCTGAATGCATTCAAGACTACCTGACTACGAACTTAGTATGTGCCTCCAAAATGTTCTACCCAGTCAGGGGTTGCTATTAGCAGCCAAGTGGCAGGACTGTCCATTAACAATAAGTTAACGATTTATAATCAGTGGTTTCAATATTATTATTGCTTGCTTGTGCCTTATTTTGTATTTTCAAGATTACCTTTTGCACATAACTTGCAGACCCTAACCAATATAAAGTATGAGGAAGGTTAGATTCTGAAGTCAAATAACTAATTAATTTTTTCTGTCGACTGAACAATATTTGTGTAGGGCACAAAATTGCCAAACGTGTAAGTTGGTCATTATCGTTTTAGGCATTTTGCATCTTCAGTGTCTCAGACCTAGAATTGATGATGGCTAAATGCTCAAAATGAAAATTTGAAATGACAGATTAAACCAACAAAGATACATGGATCAAAATGATCAATAATGACCAACTTACATGATGGCAGACTGTATGGTGAAATTCCACAATTTATTAGATATGTGTCCAGAGAGTGCTCTTCATTAACAGCCTTGTGGAATGTACACACACATGCAACCACAATGTTATGAAGATTTTATGCATCTAAAGTAAGGCAAATTCCTCCTAGACCTCCCATTCAACTTTCACTATTCTCACATTTTGAATTTTGACAATATTTTATCTAATATTAGTTAAATTCTTCTTGTTTATATCCATCTATTTTCAGAATGAAAGGTCAATGTGGTTGTATTGTGGAATTATATTCTTATTTCCCATGCCCCTATTATTTTTTTTTTTTTTGAAGAACATACTGAAAGACAAATGTATTCTAATTAGGTTTGGTTTTTTGAAGGTTGTTGTAATCTTGTTTTTGCATTTTTTGAACCAGTTTTTTTAAAATTATTATGAATGCATTGACAATTTAGCAAGCATGTAATTTTTTATTTTGAAACAATTTTATTTAGAAAGTCTATATAAATATTTTACATGTTTATTTTCTTTTTTTTTTTATAATTACAATTTATTTGTGATGTTTTTTCCACTTGTAGAACTATTTTAAGTCATATATGTACAGAACAATCTCATTTCTAAACCCAGTCCTTTTTTTTACATTTTTTTACTCATACTAAAAAAAGACCAAGAAAGTCAAGTGACAAAAAACGGTTACCTTTTAAAGATGTTTTTAAACTCTCTTTAAGACCAGTTTTTTTTATATTTCTCTTCATTCTTTGCTGTAATATTATCATGAGTTGCTTGTTTGTCTGCAATTATCCTGATCTACTTAATGCTGCTGCGTTTGTCTGCTAGACACATTCATTGTTAATATAAAGCATTATTCTCATAAATAAATTTTTGGACAAAGTGGACAGGTGGTTGAAATTTTTTAAAATATTATAACTGAAAAAAGACAGACTTTATTATAAAAATTTATTACAAAAAGAAACTTTAAATACCTATTAATAGCAAACATTGTCTATAGTTATAAAATACTATTCTTTAAATGTGCTATCATCCTATGTTAAATAAACTACAGTACAAACATTCTCTTAGTTCTCGGAATAGCTATGTACATTTGAATTGTTTGAAATTATGTAATCTCCTCTTATTTAAATAATGTTCAAGGCATCATTAATAAATGTCCTTCTTTGCCAGTATAAACATTTGTTAGGCTCATATAATAATTTTTAATTTAGGAAGACAATAAATTATAGGTAACAAAACCCATAAGAGTTTATGAAATGCAGTTCTAGAAATTTCCCAATTTTATACGAAAAAAATCAAATTGGAACACTCTCTTTGGTTATTTAAATTATGTATACATAAATGCATTTTATTTCATTAAATTAAACATTACACATTTTTTGAACAGTATATACATTTTATTGTTAGCAAAAAAATTGTACTCTTTTTCTCTCAGAATGGACCCTGTCCACAAAAATTGCTAATATTTACAATAGTAAATTATAAGAAAATAATACATATGTACAAAGTTAGGAAGTTTCGTATATACATTGTGGATACAAACTTGTTGGCTCCTGTCCCAGGGAGCCATACTCGTTTTGCTATACCCTGAGACATCTGACATTACTGACACTAATCGATTTTGGAAAATAAATAAGCCGAGGTCAATATTGCTGATTTGGTGATTCCTGCTGAGTGTCCGTCCTAGAGAACTGTGGATTTGGTGATTCCCTGTACTGCTGGGGGTTAGGTGAGTCCCTCTGCTGCTGCACATATTGTTGACTCGGTGATTCTCTTTGTTGGATATATTGAGGATTTGGTGATTCACGTTGTTGCTGGTACGGTGGAGGGCCACCCTGGCTGGAAGGAATTCCGAGTTCATCTTGTGGTCTCTGGGGCTGCTGTTGTTGAACTGGATGGTAAGCAATCGGTTTAGGAACCGGTGCATAGTTGGCTGCACCTCTGGGTTGTGGTTGGCCTCCTTGCTGAAACTGATAATTCTGTTCAACTTGTTCCTGTTGAGGCTGCTGTCTTTGGCCATAAACACTTTCCGGCCTTCCTGGTAGTTTCCTATAAATTCTTTCTCCTGCCGGAGGCCTAGTTCCATAAATACCTTCTGCACCGAGCCTCTGTTGGTTTTGCTGATTCTGATTTGCAGCGACTGTGTTCGTCCCCGTTGTCTGGACAGAATTTAACCTCATTGGATAAAGACTCTGAGCTGGCACAAGGGGTCCAGGTCGTGGGGCACCAGCTTCTGGTCTGTGAAGCATTGGAGGTCCTGTTGACTTTGAATAAACTGACTGTGACCTATTCAAGTTAGCTCTTGTCAATGGGGGTGATTTGCAGTATAGAGACTTAGTTCCACCGTATAAAGATTCCACCCTGTCAAGCTTGCATGGAGGTGCAGCATAAAGGCTTGCTTGAACCATATTCGCACTGCAATATCCTTGTCCTGGAGAGAGAAAAAAGGCAAACTTGAATAAAATGCGTTTTGCAATAAATAAAGCACAAACAATGAAGAAAAAAATTAAATACACCCATTGCTGTTATTGTAATATAACTTCTTAATTATATTTTGAAAATTTGCTAACTAGTTTTAACTAGTTTTTGTTAGATTTTCGCATTTTGAATCTGAAAGTCAGCCATAAGAGTTTTTCTCAAAATCATTCAACTTATAATAGAAAAAGTACATTATAATCATTGCAATAATTTCTAAGTTGAACAGACAAACACATAATTGTAGTAATTGATATGAAATTAGTACCAGATGGGGAAGCTGCGGTTGCAACTGGTCTATAGACTTCTGCACCAGATTGCATTGGGCGGAGAGTGTTGTAAGCAGATCTCGGCTTGTCGAGCTCATCATAAGTATCTTCATCGGAATGGATACTAGATGAGTCTAAACAATAAAGTAAATATTATAACCAAAACTAAAATTTAATAAATACTTTGAATTTAATTCAATTTTTTGTTTTACCTCCATCTATCGAGTCTTTTGACCTCTTGAAATGCCTCCTCGGATTGAATATAAACTCGTATATGAGACCTGCTGTTATACCTCCAAAAATTGGGCCAAACCAGTACACCTACCAATGGAAGAAACAGTTGTTATTTTTGTAAATAAATATTTATTTTGTATATAATCGTACCCAGTGGTTGTCCCATTTGTTCATGACAAAGGCAGGTCCCAGGGCTCGAGCAGGGTTCAAAAATGGCATCTAAAAAATTAAAAATATTTTATATTGGTTTTGGCTCTGTACATAGTATACAATTCATAATAATATAGCTGGAATGTATATTTTTCCATTTTATGGGTTTTTAATATGTTTTTAAAAAATTTATTTTTTTATATTTGTTATCACCACGCTAAAAATTTAAAATAATTGATAAAAAAACTATTTTGGAAGTTTATAAACGAATACAGCTTTGCTAATGGGTGACTAATCATAGTGTTAAAGTTTGCAAAGTGATGATTAAGGGGCATTGAGAAGTTTGATCCTTTCTAATCATACTTCTCAGCTTTTTCCCATTGAAGATGGCAAAATCAGTGAGAATAGACAGACCATAATGATCGGATGTGCTCAAATTATTTTGAGAACAGCAGTCGTCCTAAAAACTACGGATCGAATAAGTGCGAATAAAAGTCCAACGAGCGAAATTTTGTCACCGAGGTGTCGGGCAATAACGCCACACATACTAAAATACATTACTGCTTTGACTAGCAAATTAATAGAACTTATGAATGATGGAGTGGGTGTGTGGAGATCAATGCTTTTTAAAAAGATGGTTCCTACTCACAGTAAATAATTGTGTTATAATCCATTACTTCTTTGACTAGTTGACTAAAATACGTTCTATCAGACGATTCAAAAGCAGGTAAAAAAATTTTGGTGTGTTTTGCCTGCATACCGTATGTATGAAGGATTTTTGGTTTCTCCAACTTTTCCATCGTCCATAAAAAGTCTTTAGAAAAGTTCTATATCCTTTCAACTATTATTTAAAATTCATGGGGCATATTCATAGACAGTTATTCTACAAATAAAATAAGATTAGGGAGTGCCATTGACATCGAGAGGCCTAATCTGAGTTGACAAGATATCTCAGCGTTCGTAATAGGAAAGAGGGAGAGGCGTGGGAAACGTTCGCTTAGACCTGCATTCACCACAATAACCATTGTTCGAGAGAAAAAAGACGACAATAAGATCCAAACTGCACATGCCCCCGGGAGGATTTTTCCCTCTAAACAAGCAGAAGCTGCAATGAAAATTCAAACTTCATTTTTCTGACCATCTTGAGAGGTTGTTGAATGACCTTTTTCGAAGACTCTCAATTGGTAATTGAGAGTTGCTCTTATATCCAGTTTAATTCAAAATATTTCCGCTTTCCTAAAGGTTAATAAACAAGAACCCTTTGTTGGGATAAAGGAGAGGGAGTGGAGAGAGTGAAGGAGATTAATTGATCGATTGATGGTTTTATTTATTCACGCAAAGTTAGGGCACTTTGACCATTCTTACACTTAAGGAGGGAGGGAGGGAGGAAGGGAGATAGAGAGAGATAGGTGGATAGATAGACAGACAGATAGATAGATAGATAAATAGATAGATAAAGAGAGAGAGAGAGAGAGAGTGAGTGGTAGAGATAGAGATAGAGATAGAGATAGAGATAGAGAGAGAGAGAGAGAGAGAGAGAGAGAGAGAGAGAGAGAGAGAGAGAGAGTGAGTAAGACAAGGAGTACGAAGGATTGAGTGGTGAGTGATAGAGAGATTGCGGTGGAAAGTTAAAAAGCGGGGAGAGAGAGAGAGAGAGAGGGGTAGATAGTTAGATAGATAATTTGATGTATGATCAGTGTTATTGGTCAAGGGGTAGAATAAAACAAAATTCCAACTTTGACAAGCTTTCGACCAGGGCTTCAAGGTCATCATCAGGGCCTATATTTTCATACAAATTAACAACAATAAATTAACAGTTATTTTATAGAAACATACAATTACCAATTTTTGCCACTAGTTACTATATTGTGTTTGTTTTTAAAATTTATAAGTAGTTACCTGTGCCAAAAATTGGTAATTGTTTGTTTTTATAAAATAACTGTTAATTAATTGTTGTTAATTTGTTTGAAGATATAGGCTGGGGGACCGCGGTAGCCGAGTGGTTAGATTCCCACCGTCGCCTCTGGCCCTTTTTTCACGATAACCCCCCCTAAATAAAAGAAGATTAAAAAAAAAATATAGGCTCTGATGGTGACTTGAAGCCCGGTTCGAAGATTGGCAAAGTTGGAATTTTGTTTTTATTCTACCCCTTGACCAAAATACTGATCGTGCATCAAATTAAACTTCAAGTGGTAGGTACCTTCTCTTTCTTCTGTTTATATATATAAATACCGTNAAACAGCTTGATAGGAGATCATTTAGACGTAGAAAGATGAGAATGCGCGTGAGAGTGAAAGAGGAAGATAAAGTTTGAGGGAGAGAGTGGGGTAAATAGATAATAGATAGATAGATCTGAGGTATATTTATGAAAATTTAGAGGAAGACAGATAGAAAAAATATACACACATACAAACAAGCATAGAGGCTGATAAATTGACGACAATACAATCAGTATTGAAAATTGTTTGTACTTACGGATACGATACTTGCGGCAAGGTAGGCGGATCCGATACTCAGTGAAGTCCCGCCGAGCCATTTCCTATGGTTGTCCATTGTAACGAAGTAAGTGAAAACTACGACAAACGTCAAAATAAGCTCGAGACCGAAGCGTTCCCAAGGCGAAAGGTGGACCGGCAGCTGAGCGACTGTCGCTGATAACGTGCTTTGTCTGCCAGGCAGCGTAACCCTGTAACAAAATTCGATTTTTAGAGTCGGGTCGAACAACAGGTTTTAGAAACAAGAAAGCCTATAATTATACAAATACCGTTAAAATAATCGCAGCCATGGTAGGTAGTAACCTCGTAAATCGAGTTAACTGGTACGAAATAGCTAATATAAAATCCCGGTAATGAAGGGTAGTTAACCCTTATATTTATACAGAATAAGTACTATTAGAAACTGTTGGTATATAACTCAATTAAGAATAAGATAACAGACATGGTTTATTTATAATTTTCTCACTCATTTGATATCTGTTATATTCCTTTTATTAAAAAAGTTTTACTGTTGGAAAAATTAAGTAAAAATAAAATCAATACGCTATTATATGGTGTTACATTTGTTGTTGTAATGGAAATAGGGTAAAAAGGAAGGATACTTGCCGATTGAAACTTGTTGTAGTTACAAAACGGACTCAATCTTTTATTTCCATTTCATTTCTCTTTACAAAATGGATGGATTAGTGGTGGAAAATCCCGCAGAGTTGGCAATGAAATTGAGATAGATACAATTACTATTGAAAAGGACCATAAAATGAGTTCATATCACACCACGTTTTCTGAAAGACTGTATTTTTTTGTTCGACAAACATATAAATCAAATATTCTGTCATTACACAATTTCAAAGGCGTACATTATTCTCATCGCTCTTTGAACACTACATATTTAAATATGAGAATGAATGAGCGCTTCGAAAGATTCTCAAGCTCTTGGAGAATGGTAAAAACAAAGAAACTACGTATGCGTGCCAGATCCATAAATATTTAATAGTTTGCTCAAGCCAGTTTTAATTTATCGAGAATGGGGAAGGTGGTATCTGTTGCGGAACAGGGTTTAAATAATCAACTCGAATGGGTAGAAAAGTGCGTTAATTTTTGAAAAAGCCGGATAGGACGACGTTAATCTCAGGCTTCCTGAGAGGATGAGATTAACGTCTAAAAGATAGCGTTATCCGCCATTCGAGAACGTCTTTCAATGTGTTGCTTTTTTATTTATTTATTTTTTTTTTACTGCGACATCTGTTCGACAAATGAACGCCGGATTCGGACGGATCATCCCTGGTATCCAGAGCTTGTTTGCTGAGGCGATTAGATAATACATTAGAAAATATGAGCTTATTTTAACAGGCAAAATATGATCTGAAGTCTTAAAAAACTTTGTAATTTATAAGTTTGTAAGGGAAGCAAGAATTAATAAATTTAATACAACAATCTTTTGTTTTAATATAACATCCTTAATTTCAAAATAAACATAATTCTGCCCAATCATAAGAAAATCATATAACTTCGGTTTTACAATTTAAAGGGATGGCTAATATTATTTGTTGTTTATGCCATAATTTAAATTATAAGTATTGCTGCAATATTGTTTAAATTTTAAGATAAGATAATAATTACGAATTTGGATTACAATGCCTACGATAAAAAGTACCAACAATTATTGCCTAAAGTGCTTAGAAAGGTTGAAATGTTACAGATTGTAATAAATATATTAAATTAAAAAATGTTAGGGTATACGGTTTCTGACATGAGGGGGGGAGGTTGACAAGTTTTGTCAAATTTCTTGTAGGTTTTTTTTATCTTTTTCAAGAACTTATGGGATATTAAGTTCGTTCTGAATGGTAAGGTTGGATATATAGAAAGGATCCCCGCCCCGAGGATTGTCGAATACTCTGGCGTGAGTGTGTGACGTCTGGAAAGGAAAAGAAAGTTATTAGCATGAATGGAGTGCATTCGACCCTCCCCCATGGAATATCGTGTATTCTGGGGGAATGTATTTCACCAGACTTCTATGCTTGTATCAGGTGCTTATATTAATTTATTGGAATGAATATAATTTATTAGCGTGAAAGGAGAGATTGCTTATGACCCCGCCCCGAGGCATATCGAGTACTCTGGGATGAGTACCGTTTGGAGAGCAAACGTAAGTTATTAGCGAGAATGGAGGGGTTGAATCCCGCCTCGAGGAATATCGAGTACTCTGGAGGAGTGAATGTTACTAGAATTATAGTTTATGGCGATGAATATGTGTGTGTGTGTGTGTGTGTGTGTGTGTGTGTGTGTGTGTGTGTCTGTCTGTCTGTCTGTCTGTCTGTCTGTCTGTCTGTTTGTATTATATGTTTATAACTATTCTGTAGTTGACTACCTTACGTAAAAATGAGAAGCTAGTACTTTAGCTTAGTTTGTCGACCTAGTTTTCATACAAAGTAGTAACAGATCGACACACTCAAATGGCTGCAGGTTGAAAAAAGTACTCGTGAAAGACCAGCAAAAAAGTATAAAATCGCAGAGGGCTGCTTTCTTTATGACACAGGAGAGGTGGGTGAAGGAAAGGTAGAGAACTCATAGGAAAAGAAAAACGTTTCGGACTCCTTATTGCTCATTCAGAACCTGGCCAAGTATTAAGTAATAAAAATATTGTAAAAGAACAATGTTGCTCATAAAAGTGGGAGTGAAGTGAGGTTGGCCATAATGTTGATATCGTCACTACTCTGATAGCTGATTTATGGGAAGCAGTCTGGCACTTTTATCCTTTCTTTTGAGTTCTCTCGAGTTATGGGCTAAAGAAAGAACGGACTAGGCCACAGTGTAGACATTACAATGATAGGCTAATTTTTTTTCGAGGGGTCTGGAACTTGGCCCTTTTTCACGGTAAGGTTTTTTTGGACTTTAAATACCGAAAGACAAAACACACAAACTAAAATATTGCTAAACATTTTGTATATTTCATATTCTTAACATTTAATAAACTATGTGTAAAATAATATATAAATTACAACTTATGTCTAAAGCGAGAAGTCTAAGAAGTAAAAACCAGAAAATTTTAAAGTTTATAGATTGTAAAGATAGTGGATAAAGGTAAATTCCAATTATATAATAAAACTACCTAGAAAGGCAGAAAATATTAATAATCGATGCTGTCTTTTTCCCATCCAGAAACGCTGTTCAGCGATTCGAACTGGGCCAACCGGATATTTATGAATCGCTTATTCGGCTGAATAGCATTTGCTTTTTATGCTAGCATATTTCTTTTTTTTTTGTGGGAAGTTGCTTTTGAATTAATAATCCAATTTTGTCTTGAACTCTGACAATGAATAGCTAATAAGCTCACAGGCGAAATGCCTAATTTCGAGATTAAAAGTAGACAGCAAAGAAGCCTTTTAAAGTAATTTGCTCTGGTATAAATTCTTCAGAAAGAATTTTGCAAAAAGATTTGGCTACTCCAACACGATTATTATTTCAAAGAACGTTTGTTTAAAAAATAATTTGATAATTGTTATAAAATCAACTGTGACATCGCATCCTCTCTTGAGAAGAAAGAATGCTCCTCGGGAGTTTTTCTCGATGTCTAACAGGCGATCGGGTCTATCACCAGGTTTTGCCCTGAAAACCCAAGGGTATATCCACCTTCAACCAACTCTCTCATCCTTAAATCCAACTTGATGCTGAAAGCTACTTTAGGTTATGGGTCGGATCCTATACTCTCCCTTGTACAGGGTGGACGCGGGCGTCTCTCAAGATAGAGTCCTCGGCCCGAGATACTCAGTATCCTTTCCCATTCCGACACCACTATCCTGGTGGCTCTACACATGCGGTAGAGTACTAGAGTACTACAATGCCGATTGATGCCGAATATTTGCCAAATAGCGTGCCTATGTATACACACATGCGGGGTTCGTACAACCAGCCCGCTTGTGCGGAAACAGCGAATACATATTTGCCAAGTGCCGTGCGAATCCTCACCGTACTACCAATCGTAATGGACAATAGTGAAACTGTCATTCCTGCAGCTGCGGTTACTGTTTTTTGTGGTGGCTACAAACGCAGTTACAAATCAGTCCCAGAGTACTGCTGCCCCATCTTACTTTGGAACCGTTTCCTAGCATTAAAACCTCGTTCCAATTTTTGCAATTCAGAAGAGAAGCGCCTCAAATTGGTACAGATCGAGGAACTCCAAGACTGTTATATGACTGTCCATTACTGCCAATCCATTCCCAACCGACAGAAACAACGCTATGATGTTCTTTTATTAATACATCTGTACTAGTTAGGGATCGTTTATTATTGAAAAGTAAATAGCAGTGTTGATTGATGATTACAGTTGATATCCGTACAGTACAGTTGATACCCGAATGTGTGGATACTTTGAGTTCTGCTACTTCACGAATATTTGTGCACTTTGAAGCGGACAAGGAAACCGACAATAAGCCGAGCATCCATCCCCACTTGTCGGGATTCGGCGAATCCCGCACGTCTCGGGCAACCTTAACATGCATTGATGACATTGCCACTAAACTCTAACTCCGACCCCGTCATATCTCACCGAACCCTCCGAAAACACCACAAAGTCCCAGAACATTAACCGTCACGCTCCAATCAATCACCTTATCTCCAATCTACTATAACCCCAGCCCCCTTCCCACCGAAAACGTCATCCGCTAGGGCTGTATCTAGACAAAAGTCTGACCTGGATAGAACTGAACCGACGATACCGATTACTTACTACTAGTTGATAACTGATCTAGACTCTCCCTTGACAACAAAATACTCATATAACTCAATAGTGAAACCAATATGGACGTCATAGAATTATGGGGTTCGACCTAACTTCCAATCTGCGCAGAATTCAGTCCTTACATTCATGAATCCTTAGATCCATCGTCAACTCCACAGTCAATGTTTCTAACCACTCCATCGAATAACGGTTTATAAGTCGTTAAATGGTAAATTAATAAAGCTCATTGCAATCTATTTCCCACTCGATAACTAATAATATATAAATAATAATTTATACAAATATATCAGTAGCATCTAGTCAATGGTTGTAACAATTTCTTACATGGAAAATAATTAAATTTATTGATCATTTAGTTAATTAAATTAAATCAAATTAAATTAACCAATAATGGGAAACTGCCTTCCTTTGGTTAGAGGAGCATAAATTATTTCCAAATTTGTGCTGATTTGT